TAGGGTTGCATCTACTACAAATACTGAGTTAAAATGAATGAAAACAGAATGATCTAATTTTTGTCAATTCGACGGGAGTGTTTTTATTTGTTCCGCGCCTTTACTGGAAATTATAAATTAATCCGAACAATGGGGCGGGCGGGCGATCGTCGTTTATTAGGTAACACACATCGTTGGCCTGTTATGAATTTGGACTGAGGGTTACACAATGCAGCCTGACATGTAGGCGTGAGTGGCGCACCCGCCGGCCGAACGGCATCAGACCCAACGTGTGTTCGGAGCACCGCGGAGGGCGCAACTCACGCGACCTTGTCAGACCATATACTAGTACATCATATGTACATCTCTAGTACGTCCATGGTCATACTGCACACGGTGCAGTACCAGTAGTTGTCATTTACAGTCACTCGTTTCGATTTATCAATCTCCCTCCAATCACGGAATGGTTCCGGAGTTTTAAAATTTCATTTAGCAAAATTGGAAGAAATATTTACTAGTATTTGCGCTTGTTACATGCGTTCTTACCGCTAATGAGTTGTTTCGTATCCGGGGTCTCACTATCCCAACATTCTGTGTCATTATCGGCCATTGTGGATGTGTTAATGTAACTGTCTCCGATCAAAACGGCAAAATCTGCAAGAAATGCAATCAAGCATAAAAAACGTATCAACCAGCGAAATAAAAAAAATAAGAACTATCAAAAAACACATAAAAATAACACCGGAAACGAAACTGTCAGTTGTCATGGAGTTCTGAATTTATTGTTTATTTGCTTGTATGTTTTTACAGTTTAGGTAATTGCAAACTTGAAAATCCCGCAATGCGATAGTTAAAATAATACAAAATGTGATGTACGTAATAGCATATATCAAAATAATAGTAAATATAATACAATTAAATAATGTGTAAGACGTCTAAAAAACAATACACGCCGTACAATGCACCAGATTTTAATCTGACTGTATGAAATGTTGTCTCATTTTAAAATAACAACAATTACCGTACTGCCTACACTTCGGTATTATGCCATGAAACGACTAACAATCAAAGTACATCCATCATTCAGATGAATTTAAAGCGGGAGGGTCGTCACCTGCGCACGCGCGGGAATTGAGTACCAAGCGACTATTGACGCTGCAGTTCGGCGTCTTCTATACGTTTGTGCTGGGATAGCGCTTCCGGTGACGACACAACGCCAAGCGACAATAACAACACACGCTAAAAATGCAAAGCTTCATGGGTAGACGCTTGTTTGTAAACAATGACAGGCTATGGCCATCTGACGCATGCGCAGATGACGACTCCTCCGCTTTAAGACCCGTCCCGAAAGTCATACAAAGACGTGCTACTAGTCATGTTAAGTCATGGCCACCGTGACGGGATTATTATGGCATACCACAAGCGTGAGCGTGAGCGTGAGCCTGGTTTATACAGCCATCAAATGACCGTAATTTGAATAATTTGTACCATGAATTGTTGCTGTGAATTATATCATAACGTAACCAGGTTACTGCGTAAAAAACACGGACATTCTATAACGCTCTATAACGCCGTGGTATAAACATTATTCACTCTGCGTCTCGGCGAATAAATTATTAGAAAAACCTTTGAAACAGAATAAGTATGGAAATAAAAAAATAACCGCAAAGATGCTACGACGCGGATGGCCTTGCGATTTTCGTCGTTCTCATTGACTTATTACGGGCGATAAGCATCCTCCGGCATTTCTCTGGAGTAGATGAGCGAAATAAAAACCGTTCGTCGCTTTAAAATCAGACAACTAATAAAGTTGTGTGAGCTTTGAAGCACACTAAATATAGGGAGGGTGAATTGAACCTCATAGCACTAATGTTAGTTCTCTGAGATTGAACAAAGGGTATGTCACTCCAAAATTGTACACTCTAACCTTGGTCGCGTTAACCTTCTGTGCCTACTGAGAGGCCACTGACCACGGCAACCAGACTACAAAGTGGCACGTAGATATCAAATTATTATAATATTAAGAAGCAATTTAGTATTTGCCGTTTTTATCTTTTCAATGCACTTTATGACGGCGCATTGGGTTCAATCACCAGTCTAATAAATAACCCCTGTTTTATTGACAGATTTACGTACAGTTTATTTGTCTGTGGCTAGGCTCACCGCGACACCTACGCCAAGTTGTTAAAACGGGAGAGTTTGAATGCTTCGGCAATTTTAATCTGAAATCTTCCCAAGTAGAATATCATGAAATTACAATACTAACGTACAAAAAATGAAATACGTTCTTGATATCTGGTTGACGGTATCTTGATGTTTCAACTGTGAGTGAATGCACTTCTCAAAGAATGACGTCACCATTTAAACGATTTGTGTCTCAAGCCGCTGACAACGATCGCTGATAGTACCGAAAACGCAGTACCAAGCCTCTGTACGTACGGAAAATATTGCGATTAATTTTGAGCTCCCTCAATCTGATTAAGATTAGAGTTCGCTATAACGCTTAATGAGGTAGTATGTCAAATGAGGTATGTCGACCACTAAATGGCGCTGTTGCGAAGAGAAGAAAACGATATTATTCCCCCAATGTAATATCCAAAAATAACAAAATGGGAGTATTGAGCATAATTCGAATCTAAGTTGGCGCCAGGCGTTGAATCTGAATTTGTGGAAGCGATCGTATATGAGGGGTAGGCTAGCCATCCATTCATACGTGACCCGTGTTTCGTGGGTACTAGTAAGAAACATTAAAGGTCGGTGGTCATCGCGCAGCGCGTGTTCGAAATTCATGTAAACAAACAATGTATTTTACACGCGTTGTATGCGTCGCTATGAGTTCCATATCGAACAGGACGCGGCACGACGACCACCGCCATTTAATCGATACGTTACGTCCGTGGACACGACCGTTGTGTATTGCCTTGTGAGAGATTTTTGTTTTGGGGGGATACCGTCCATGAAACACGATGGGATAGCTAGTTAGCTTATTTGAATCACTGAGATACTCGTTCTTTCTCGTTCTGCATATTTCTATTACCCGTTGATGTTTATTATATTAAATCGTAAACTTATCGGTCAAGTATTACAATATTGTAGTTTGGGTACATAACTTTGATTGGTATTGATCTTTTACTGCACGTAGGCACAAGCTGTCAGGAATTTCTAAATAAGCCGCTTTACTTTCGCAAGAGATACATTTCGCAGATTTCGTGAAAACGCTAATTTTAGGACACGGAGAGTCAGTGATTTTTCGCGAAACGGTTTCTTCAAAAATACCATAAATTCCTAAATTCGTAAAAATTTCTAACAGTGAAAATTACCGGTTTGCAGCATTCATAAATTACTTCACGGAAGCTTGGCAGTGTGTTATTAATTTGTCGCGTCGAATGCACGAATGACCCTGTAATTTCAACAAATTCGTTTGACACGTATTTGATTTTATCTTGGGGTCGAATATAATATGCAATAAAGACCCTCGTGCATTATCCTATATAACTTGAGAAGACAGAAATGACGAATGAACGACTTCTCTCAAGATATCAAAGACGATACATTTCTAAACAAAATTACATTAATAGCGCGTCACTTGTTTTCTCCGATCTCACATAAAATACGGATTTCGCATATGTCTTTCAGATTAAATGCGCATTCGATTTGAAATTTACATGCAAACAAACAAACTTGCCAAATAGGTCGGTCATTTTCATCATTTCCTTATCTACCTGCGTGAACTATCACGTGTTTTTATTAGTGATTACCCAATTGACAACTTTCGCGACGAATGCATAAAAAAAATGGAGGAAATTTCGCTGACTAAAACGTTGCTCACATATACTATACTGTGCCAGGAATTATCATGTAAGGTCATCAGGATAATGATGCAAAGTACGCACCAATTACATGACCACACTGGCCTGGTGAAGCCTACTTCATGTAATTGCATCATATCACGGAGAGGTCTCTACCCGACACCGCCAGGTACGGCCAATTAATATGTGTAAATCCATATTGCAAACAATGTGCATGACAGCTGATGTTTTATGTACTGAAATCATTGACTCGAGATTTTAAAAAAAATCTCTTAATTCAAATAATTATTGAAATTAAATCTCAAACCATATTTTCAGGATTAAAAGGGTGGCAGTCGTCACGCCGCGTCCTGCTCGATGTGGGACTCATAACGACGTATACAACGCGTGTAAAATACATTGTTTATTTACATGTAATTCGAACACGCGCTGCGCGATGACCACCGCGCTTTAGAAAAAGTAAATTCAGAGTTTACATGACATAACACAGCCAATAAGAACGTTGGTTGGGCTTCAAGACTATCCGAAATACGAAGACCCTGCATATGTGAATTGACATTTCTCTGGCACTGAAGAAGAGATGGCAAAGAGATGTTACCACCATTTTTATCTGGACTCCTTTTTCTCATATTACAGGGCGATGGTCGTTGCGCAGCTCATGTTCGAATTTAATGTGAACAAACAATGTATTTTACACGTGTTGTGTTCGTCGCTATGAGTCCCATATCGAACAGGACGCGACGCGACGACCACCGCCCTTTAAATATATATCTGCCATTCAAAGTAGTGTACAGGACGATCACTTTTGATCGCACTCAAGTCTCCGAGTTGAAGAGTTTTGGCACACACTTGTATTAATCATTAGAAATAATCAGCTAGTCAAGCAAATAAAGTGTGAAAACATAGTGAGAATTGTATATACATTAGACGATAGTAAAGTGCGAGTAGATAGATCGACCTACCAAATGTACAGGGACTTGATGCTGAACGTCTTGTTTCAAACCAGTTCTTCCACCTGCGATAAGAAAATATAAATACTATTACAAAACCTTTATTTTTATAGCAAAAATCTAACACACCCTATGATAATATAATAATGATCGACATATTTATAACGCTGTGGCGTAAAGAAAAAGTTAACGTTTTAAAAATCACGACCGTTTACTTTCCTTGTAGTTCTCGGCCTCGGAGTTTTAAAATATCGACTATCAATACTTTATGTGATATTTGGTGAATTAGCTTGTACATTGTATTTATGTTGTGTTGACGATGCAGATATCGGATGAAATATGTATCCTTGCAGTTCAGTATGAAAATGTGGATTCCAACAAGAATGTAATTTAAGGGCGTGTCTACTTGCCACTTCAGTTCGTGACAGCAGACTCACTGTTAAACTTAGATTTTCTTGCTGGATGAAAGGTGATCGCGATAGAAAACTGAAGCCAAAATATCATTATGACTTAAGCACTCACAGGGTAGGAGCACGTCTTTCTCCGTCGAGAACATTTTTTTAAAGACTTCTGTCCAATATAAAGCATACAAAAAATTATAAAATATATAAAACGTACAGGCAGTGAATGCCAACTTGGTTTCAATCATCGGAGACAGTTACTCTTTTTGACCAATCACAACACATATATAAATACCGTATCACAAGTCACTCACTACCTAACAGTGGTACCGTCAATAAACTATACCCAGGCCTCGTCGCACACAAGTAGACGCAAATAAAAACGTCATTTCAGTTAAAAAAACAAATAATGAACATAGAAAGTGTGTGCGGCTATTCACCTAGTTATAGGGTCACTTTTTAATTGACACTATAACTGTCTGGCTGTAAAATTGAACAAACACCGTAACGGTTTACCTTGAAGTAAGTGGGGCTCCTCTTTGAAAACCATAAATTTGCCAATTCGCACCAGGCGTGACTCTCGCTAGTAGCGCGATAAAGTAATCACAGTTCACTGTCGTGATAGGGGGACTGTGCACAGTTGTAGGTAAAAGTTTACCGTACTTGTTTGTGTCCACTTGTGTTTCACTGTGCTCATATTTGACATTGACCTTGTGGCATATACCTGTACTTAGCAAACATCATTCTTGTAATGCAGCACACACGATTTTTAGCGCAACATCAGGCAGTAAAACATTACACTGATAGGGTTTACCCTTGACCTTAGAACTACTGATGTGACAATAGGTTCTTGCTGAAAATTGCGCATACCATCTCTCATCATACCACCTCAAAATTTTGTTTTACCGCAATTCCAGTAGAACACCGATATTTCGGAGTAAATACAACAATCATATGTAAAATAACTACGTATTCTGTTTTCATTAATTAAGTTTTCGAAAATAGTATTGTCTGAATACACCTGAAATATACGAACCATTCACCATACAGAAAATGTTTATTCCAATTAAGCATAGTGATAAATTATACATGGTTTTTAATGAATAATTATTTTGAAATTATGCACACAACCTCGCCTTTTTAAAAATAAGCGCAAGCGCTAATCGACAGTTGTAGTGTTACTATGTTATTGCTAAATGTACTTGATTTGGTAGTTGAATTGGCAATTCAAACAGACAATTAAAAATTGTCGTGGCTCTTCACAAATTGAACATTTAACCTTTTCTTCTTGATAAATATCTGCTCACATTTTAAAAATTTCTCCCTCCCCTAACGACCTCCTTCAATTCTTTTGCGACTATGGAGAGTTTAGCAGAGTTATGACCTCTACTTTGAAATTGTATACATTACCCTGCCACTGTGATTGCATTTTTAAGAATATTCAAAATGTCGGGCTCAAAACAATTGACGCTTCATGTACACATGAATAACCCATCCCATTTGCATTCACACTTTGTATGATCTGCAGAAATATCTTTCTTTGCCCCCCCCTCCATCAAATAATATGGGCTTTGGTTTGTGTATAGTTCTTGGTCACCGTCGATCGGTTGTCTTGGTTTTATTCACTGTCCAAGCACCTTAGTAAAGGGTCTTAGTGCACGTTAGTGTAACTCCAGACGTAGCCGTGGATGATACAGTTACAATACACGTAGTATGCTATATCTACAATTTTATCACGTGTCTTAGGCTGAACATCAAAAGGGTCGACCCCTACCCCGGGTGAGTATGTCACAGACTCAATGGGAAGGCCAATTCCACCGGCCGAGATTCATTCACTAACGAATGCGACTTTGAGGGAACCTTGGTTAAGGTCCACAGGTGCTTGTGTTCGACCGGGCCTGGTTGACGCTGTTGGATAGCGCATTAAAATCGCCATTTGATAGAGATCGCCACACAGCCCTGTCATGTAGTCCCAAACATGAATGTGACTCCTGTGGCAAAATGCACTATGTGTCAGCAATAGCACTTGCAATTTGCACATACAAAAAAAAGTCAGGAGAGACAACAGTGACACTCAATGTCAAGAACTGTCGCCCTTGAAAAAAGTAGCCTACAACTGGGTGCACCAAGCACGAGTCTTGTGTCACGCACTGCCTTCATATTTAGACACTCCCTAAAATTTTAATTTTATTGGAATCTATATTTTATACTATAACTGCCGAGTATTCAAAAGAACCGCCAGCAATTTAGACTGAGACAGAATTTCGACGTAATGCTTAGTCACGTCTACTGGACTGACTAAAGGGTATATGGTCACGTTTATTTAAAATGTGAGCATATATTCTGACTCGGGGTAATATTTTAACTGACGTGCTACGATATTCGTCAGATGTTGTCGAAATAAATCAAACCCATGCTGTAAATAGGTTGGCACAATGCATGGTTAATGCACAGTTCCTCTATCTGACTCCCTCGGCCCGGGTGTAAACGGTTTGTTTACCCGCAATGCTGTTCGAGACAAAAGTACGCTAGTCGTTTCCAGACCGGGGATAGAGGGACCGTGGTTAATGCTATAGTCAAAACGAGTCCCGAGTAGAGTCAAACATCGCTGCTACTGGTCTGACTAAATGGGCCATTAGTGTAACCATTTTGTATAGCTATATGTTACACCTTGAGATTAGAGTCTCCCTTGCAATTCAGTTTTTATCGAGTTTTTTTTAAAATAACTGTGCACATTTTACCTGTTCACACGATCTCTAAGCACCGACTTATGTTTTTGACTACTTATTTACTACACCCACTAAATAACGTAAATATACCATATTACTGTATTTTTCTGCTAAACAAATGATTTGTTTGGACTAACAACGTACAAACGTGTAATTACTAGTATTATAATCATTCGTGGCAAAAATGGGGAAACAAGATTTGTAATTATGGTAGCCATTTTAGAAATAAACAATTCATATGACGCCCAATATACTTTGAGGTAATAGTATAACCATGGAGCTAAAACAAGATTATTTTACCTCCATGGTATAACCAACTAAATCTATGGTCGTGTGAAGTCTACTGTAAACAGAGTTAACAGTAAAACAAACTAACTGCAATGTCTTCTAGTGCGATTCAAACACAGACAGTTATTAGTAATGAATGAAGCATTTTAATACAGAATAAATATGCAGGCATCATGGATAAAATAGTTTCACTGAATATATATATATAAATATATAAACAGAAAATAGTTATACGGCAACAAATACAGACGCAACGCAACACATAGATAGAACTCTGAGACATGGTGGTTTGTTTAGCTCCGTGCTCCGATCAATAGCTCCGAATTGAATCGTACGTGTATAGTCGTTAACACAACACACATATCCTATGAAAAGTGACTAATAATATCTGATGTGCATATATAAAATGAGCGAAGTGTCCGGGCCCGCCGATTAATGAATATCATGCGAATACACTGATGTTATATTCTAATAAGAGGATCGATGCGTCGAAATGCACCCGAATTTATCAGCAATCATATTACAGAATATGTGCGTTGATTATTTCTGCTGTCCGTGCGGTCGTGAATTGATTAGCCTCTTCTCAACAAGAATCAATATTGCTATCTTGTTTCCCACGTCACAAATTTGGTGGGGTTTCTCAATTCTTCTCCTGTTATGTATAACATTGATTCAACTTTTTTGATTATAATAGTTTTGTCATTACTGCGTGAGTTTGTAAGCCAACACCAGTGGGCGCACGTCAAACACTAATGACAAGTTTACGTGATAACAAGCGCAGGTATCGAAGTAGTCTATTCCTGAATTTCAGAATTCTGAAGCTTCTCCATGGCAACATTTGTCAGACCACCGTTTGTATGACAATTACATACACCGTTTGCTTCTTCGTTTTTACTGCTGAATTTAACCAAATAAGGACTGTTGGGAGGAGTTTTGAAGGATGTGATGTAACTTTTGCCCGCTTCGATGGCCTCATCTGCCGACATCACCTGCTCTAAGTTTCCATGACTACGTGTACGGAAGAGAAGTCGCGAGAAGATGTTGATGAGGAAGAACTCACAGATGATAAGAAAGTTGTAAATGTCTAGAAGGAAAAAAATATAAAAACATGTATGTTAAAAGCATTTTTTTCATTCAAGTTGAACATTGCATTTGTTTATAATACACCAAGATAAAATTACTGTAGATTTGAATTCATAATACTGATATAAATACACCTTTACATAAATACATATTCCTCTGGCAACAAAGCGCTTCTGTCGCGGAAAGGGTGCGATAAAAGTTGTTCACGTCGTCAATATACAAGTATATTATGTTGATATATATATCATCAATGAAAAATATTGTTTTTGAGATATATACTAAATATTAAATGATGACGGACTACATAAAAAAACACAGTTAGAACGACACTGATATCACCCATCTACGTCATGACGTCACAGAAGCGGTCCAACGTCAGAGGGCGTGACTTATAGGAAATGGGTGCCAGTAGTCGACAACCCAAGATAATATTTTATTTACAGTATACGCGTAATACTGACATGAATACACCTTTACATCACTTTCACCTAGCTACTTCATGACGTCACAGAAGCGGTTCGCCGCGAGAGGGCGCTACTTATAGGAAGGAGGGATATTCGACAACTCAAGATAATAATATACTTACAGTACACGCGTGCACGGTTATCTAACAGATCAGTGCACGTTATTACACCAGCATTAGATAGAGTAGTTAACACGCCCAGTTGAACATTGCCAAATATAAGGGTTAACTGAATGGATAAGAACTTGAACGTGATTTTATAGTCTTTTAACGGTTCCTTCGATATACCGTGTAAAATGCTGATAGCTTGGATGGCTGTAAGTGTCGATGTAATGGAAATAATGGATATCCACAAATACGGTTCGCCTATGCCAACCTTGAGAAACGAAGAAAACAGAAATCACGTTGAAATCACTTTTGATTTAAAAGGAAATGCACACTAACGCATTGTGAGCATTAAATAAATACTTCAAGTATAAAGTCTCGACCTACCACTCCTGGTGTAAATTTCCCATCAACCCACAGCACAACGGCAGCAAACAGCACAAGAGGACGGATAATTGCTACTTGTAAAACAGCTCGTCTCAACCACCGACCAGTTCGTCTGAAATATATTGGTATTATCTCTTCAAATTTTCAACATTGAAACAGACGTGACGATTTCTATTCCATTGATCATGTGGTGTGGTAAGTAATCCAAGGACCATTTTGTCAATGACATGTTTTGCAAGTACAATAATGTTATGTTACCAGGCAAACCATGTACCGGATGTGTGAGTTGAACGACGGGATGGAGGGTGTAGTGATAACAAAGAAACACATTTTGAAATACTGTAGATTGCTTCATTTCTACTTGGAATTTAGTTTCGCAATTTTCGCTGAAGGAACACTAGTGTATCTATGGGAGCGGTTTTTACATGAAATGTGAACTCGCGTTGCGTTGACGACGACCACCACCCTTTAAGTGATGTATTATGATGTATTTTGTTGGAAAGGACGTTATGTGTAAAATAGCTCTACTTTTCAAATGTTTTGCTCAAATTGTTGGTCACGGAAAGATCAATACAACTTTTTCATAAAATTGCGTCCCTAGCAACGATACTCTTCTGTGGCGTCTAAATGATGTAAACGGTGAAAACAATGTCGTTCAACACACGCAAAGTAATATCTACTTAACACGACACTGTGGCTGGTTATGTGGTCGTTTGTAATATATTAGTAGTATATCTCTAAAAGCATTAAATTTTACTAACAGATGATTACTAATCAAACGAATATCACGTGGACGCCCTTTCTGTCACCACCTGCGTCACGGAAGTTTTTTTCGACGCTAGAGGGCGTTACTTGTCTTGCAGGGTGGATTTGTATTAATCCGTTGAATGTATATACTCACTCAGTTACTGTGACCGATGGTATGCACAAACAACAACACAACAGTGGCAATGTAGTGATTTTCATCTCTTTATTTCTCAGTGTTTGGTGCATTGCATCCGATCCGCCATAGTAATCAATGATTAGTGTGACAAACATGTATAAAGTTACGGAAAGATAACTGTAAAGAAAAAAAAAGAAAA